AGGTCTAGAGGAGGACCACAAAGATAAGCAGAGGGCTGGAGCACCTCTTCTATGAAGAAAGGTTGATGGAATTAGGCTTGCTTAGCCTGGAGAGGAGAAGCTCCATGGAGGCCTCAGCACAGCATTCCAGTACTTGAGAGAAGCTTATAAATAGGAGAACCAACCTTTTACAGGGGTAGATAGTGATAGGACAGGGGGAAATGGCTTTAAACTCTTGGCCCTGAGTAGCTTGCAGCTCTGCTTTTTGTAGCTCAAACTCCCATGGCTGAAAGCGGACTTGAAGGGACAGAACTGGCCATGCCCTGCAGCACTTGGCTTCCTAGGTTCAAACAGCCTACAGAAATTTGATTTATAAATACTAAGCTCAGTAGAAAAAAAAAAAAAAAGTTGGTAATCATTATTAAAGAGGGAAAGCATTTGTCATGTCCTTCATCTCAAAAAAATGCTCAACATGACATCTGTGCCAAAGGATTAAGAAATGTTTCTGAAGCCAACTGCTAAGCTGTGGTTTTTATTTTCGTGTTATTAAGCACAGCAGCATCTTAGTTACACTGGCACAGTACAAACCTGGAACACACAGCCGTATTTCTCGCAAACCTTAAGATTCAGGCACAGGGACGACATCCTTAAAGATCTGATTAACATGAAGGACAGTGGAAGAGGTATGCGTCTCCAAATGCTTCCCCAGTCACAGGGGAATGGGCTTTGGAAACTGCAAAAATGAAGAAGGTGATCCTACAGCTGCTGAATGGTCAGACTGGGAGCTGAGGTAGGCAGCTCGGGTAGCCTCCCCCAGGCACACTGCCGAGTTTGCAGCACAGCACTGAATTGCATCCAAGCTTCAAGTTCCCACCCCACTCTGTGATAATGGTATCCAACAGCCTCTCTCTGTTATAAACTGTCAATGTGCAGAGCCTGGCTACCAACAAAGGATTGTTGCAGACGAAGCACTTCACAGGACAGCCACTTGATAATTGTGTCAGGCATCTGTCAGAAGATAGCCTTTTCTATCCTCACGTCTTATTTATTGACTTCTGGCCACAGAGAAGGAAAACACTCACGGGAGAAAACAGAACACATATACCAGCTTTAGTTCCAGACTTCACTGGGTGCACTGGATAGCTGCAACAAAACACAGCGCACTTCCCGTGGGGTTGATCAAATCTCTAATTAAAGAGGGAAAAAGGAGAGCTGAGAAGACAAGAGAGGCAAAGCTGGGGAACAGAGAAGAACAAAGCCATCCTGTCAGCAGAGGAGCATCTTCTGGGACGAGTGACTTAACAATATTGCTGAGATAAATGAGATAAATGCCTGGCTGTGCATTGCTGTGGTGGCATTGCCACCTGAAAGATCCCCACAGTTTTTGTTAAGTATCATCTGTGATCGTTTCACTGCTTCTCCAAGTTTTCACTTTGTCTGGCACCAGGAAAAAGCCATTGTAACATAAAGACAAATAAGGAAAAAATGAGAAAGCACATTATTTTTAGGATGTCTTCACAGGTTACAGAGGAGGCAGAGACTCTACAGTGGTATCATAAATCTTCCAGCATGAAGCTCCAGACCTGTTACTGCTTCAGCTGTTCCAAAAGAAGGTTCTTCTCACAGCACTGTTTGCTTCCCCCTCCTCTTCAAGTCTCTTTAGCCAAATTGCTTTGGCCAAATGCCTTGTACACAGGTAACAGAGACATCTGCACATCTGTTAGGTAAGAGGAAAGGAGTTCAGTGTTAAAAAGGTTTTGGGTGCTTCCCAACCAGACCAGGCTTCCCATTGCTTCTCAAGTAAAAATCATAAAAACGCACAGTATTCTGATGCTACTTTTCCTAACCCTACCACTATTCTGCTTATCTTATTTAATACTGCATTGTACGAGTCTGCAAAGAAACAGAAATATTTTATGTTTCTATCAGAAACATATCTGGTCATGCTGCTGAAGACCGTAACACACTGATCAATTCAATGAACCACACGGAAACAACGAATTCCCTCTCATGACTGGCTCCAACATGTGATAAAACCACTTACTAATACCAATGGATTTCTAAGGACAGCACTTTGGACCAACAACACAGAAAGTCTTCACAGTCACACATGTTAAGGTCCTGTTATTTACCTCCTTTCCAACTCCGAGTTTGTGGATTTATGCTCACCATATCTGAATGTGTGAATTAGTGGGGTGCAACCACCACTTGTTTTTGCATATTAAGAACAAAAGGGATGGCATTCATTATTACAACTCTTCCACACTGCCACCACATCTTTTCTCAACCCTGGATCTGAACAATAAAAGGAACCTGAATTAAAGGGAAAGCGTATCAGGCACAAGCTGGATGTGCTTACTGGGAAAAACCCAACACATTAAAATGCTTCAATTTGTTACCAAGTTAACTACATCAAAACTGCATTGGCACTGCGTTCCTGTAAACTGTGTGGAAAAACAGCACGACAATTTAAAACCATAACACAGTGCACATCCATTAAAAAAATGTAGAATGAGGTTTATACAATCACCCCAAATGGCTCATTTGTGTACAATAAGCAAACACAGAGTGATACACTATTTTTCTCCTAAAATTGCACTCGCATTCAATATGACAGTGATTTATTATTTCAAATAAGCTTGCACATGACATGCACTACGAACAGAACTACAGATTGGCTGAGGTGGGGAAGGACCTCAGGATCCATCTGGGCCAACCCCTGCCCAAGCAGGGACACCCAGAGCAGGGTGCCCAGGGCCGTGTCCAGGCGGGGTTTGGAGATCACTGAGGAGACCCCACAGCCTCTCTGGGCAGCATGTCCAGTGCTCTGTCACCTGCATGGTGCAGAAATGCTGCCTGGTGTTTGGCTGGAACTTCCTGTATTCCAGTTTGTGCCCACTGTCTCTTGCATTAGCACTGTGCACTGCTGAAAAGAGCCTGCCATGTCTATTACAACATACACTGCAAGAAAATAAAGCTTAGTCCTTAACCTATGTTTACACTGACGTTTGCATATACAGAAGTATTTCTTAGCGCCCTTCCTTCCTTCAAGATGGTAGTATCTGAGTAACTGCTACTGGAGAAAGCACACCACTGGTGCAGAATGGCTTGTCACAGAAAGCCAAATAAAAAACACCGAGAATTACATCAAAAATAAAAAATAAAAAAATAATCACATCATTCTCCATGTTCAGCATCAAGGGTTTCTGTACCACCTAAGCTCATCATGGAGTCTGCAGTCCTCAAGTATTTCATACTAACAACTCCAGTTCTCTCATTCTTTGTAGCCTGCACAAACATGGACCTCAAGAGATATACTGGACTACATAAGAATCAAAAAGACTGTTCTTCAAAACTAGCACTTAAAGATACTCAAGTATAGTCAGGGTTGGAAAAAGGACTGCAACAGTTATATTCTAAAAATGAATCAGAACTGTAACACTTGTGCTTTCCATTCAAGTTACAAGGAAAGGAATTTAAAAAAAAACCAAACAAAAGATAAAATAAGTCAAACAATTTCCTTGCTATCTGAAGCTAGAACCAAATATTGGTAAGAGTTGCCATGGCTCCACAAAAATTACTAAGTATCCATTTCATTACAGCAAGATTTCTTCTATAATTTTAGCAATACCCTGATTTTGGAATACCGCATTATTTGTATTGAAAAGCATAGACACACACACACACACACACACACACACATCCTCCTTCAGTATCTACAATCAACTCTTCCTTTAATTTGTGTCTGGGCTCCAACATACAAACAAGGTAGAGGAATACGATTCAAGAAATGCAACACTTAAAAGGATGCTTTCCTTAACTTGGAAATGAGTTCTCTCTGGGCACCTACAATTTACAGTGAACATGTACAATTCAAGATCACAGAACTGATTTGTAAACTCATACAGATAAAACAGACCGGTGGCAATACTGATCACAGTTTTACAATCTCTAGGTGGGACAGAAATCACCAAATATTAATCCGAAACATAACCGTACTCCTAAGCAACAGGACTCACTGGTGACTGCGGAATCTTCTGACTTACCTAGAAAGCTGTAACAGCATGAACTGAAATCCCTTCTACAGAACAGACACGAGAGCAGCCCAGCTCATCTTAGTTTCACTGCCAGCATTACTGAAGTTATTCCAACATTGAAGTTTGTCCCCAACGATGAGCATTTCAGTCATGAAAAATAAATACGAGTATCTCTGAAAGTCAAGAAGCGTATTTCTCCCTTTCTGCTATGAAAGGGCATCCTCTATTTGTATTTAACAATTACACAGATCCCTGACAGAGAAATTACAGAAATGTAAAAGCACCAGGCAGTATCCAAGACAAACTACCGACGCTCAGGAGATGAATTTAACCTTACTGCATTCAGTGTTTTATATTTATCTTCCAAGAAGAAAAGGAGAAAATTCAGCTGTGAAATCTAGTTCTGCTTCACCTTCAAAAAATTTAGTCTTAAAATGCCACCCTTTTATAACACAACAGTGCTATGTTGACATATTGATATCAATTTGAAGCAGGGTCCAATAGTATACGTGGCATGAAATACAGAAGGCACACAACAACCATGAGGTAAAATTCTGTGTCTCAGGAAAGGTCAGGTACCATACAAAGTCTCCCTCTAAACAGAGCAAGTGGAAGAGACGTGTCCAGGAACATTCCATCTCTATTACAATACACACTGCAACAAAATAAAGCTTAGTCTTTAAACTATATTTACATTAATAGTGCACAGAAGTATTTCATACATTACCTTGGACAGTGCGGTTGCTCACTTTGAATTAGAAAACTATTTTTAGAAGTCATATACCCTTGAAGCATACTGAGTACATCTGCCATGTCCTCTCCTCCCATTGCAATGAACGGAGGCAAGGTACAAGCCAGAAGTTCATACGAAACCTGTGGTCATAAGAAATCATCTGATTTTTAATACTGTTAATACTTACTGCTCTGCTGAGCATTCTCTTGTTCCACAGCATGGAATAAGTAAACAAATCACAAAAACAAACATTAGAATATAATTTTTTTTTTTAATTTTTATAAATAACTTATCTGTTACAAAGACAGTTTACCCAGCTAAATCACAAAACCATCAACTCAAGATATCCAAATTAGGTTTTATTAATAAACAGGTAAAAACTGATTTGTCAATCTTCACATAGAACTGCAGATGAAGCTGAAAAACAAGGCCTCATTTTATAGACAAAATGCATTGAATGCAAGTGCTTTGGGTCTACTGCCTAATTACCTGGGATTGGCATTTTCTTCCCACATAAAAAAATGCAAAGCCTTCAAAACAAAGGCCTTTGTGTATTCACATAGATCACTTGTAAAATTCCTAATGAAAATGTCCACTGGCAAATGTTTACAGTGGGTGACAGTCTACTTTGTCTCTTGCTACATAGTTAGCACTCCCTCCAGCCTCACTTTAAGTGCTGCTACATAATCGTGTGCTGTCTTTCATACATACTGTAATTCCATTTTCTCCATCTGTTACGTACATTCCCGATCATGTGAATATTTTCCTTAAAAAAATAGATCATCAAAAAAAGAGATGCTTGAGGTTGCTTCAGTGTTCAAGTCTGTTTGATTTCTTTTTTCCAGCCTTTATTTCAGTTGTCCTAAATATTGCTATCCTTGTTTTCTATAAATATGAGACTTCACCACAAGTCATGTTTAGAAACTGGCTGCCAAAACAGGAAAGCATTTAAAGTTCTTGAACAAAGCTGTATGATGCTGCTGCTGTTGATTTGGCACTGTGTGTACTTCCCCAATGAATCTCTCTTCAGGAGTCTGCAAGATACCCAGCAGATGAAGCAAGCTTAAATCGGAAGCTGATCTGTTGGTGGGTTGAAAGTTTCTTAGTTTATTTCCTCACGCCAGACAAAATGCTACCTTGTGTCACCCACCGTAAAACTCAGTGTACAGAGTGAACTATATGCATAACTCTTCCAACTTTTCCTGCACTTTTACCACGCTGCATCTGCAGGTCTTCACAGATCATCAGCATTTACAAGAGCAATGTACAGAATGAGCAGAGGAAAGCTATCTTGTGCATAGTTTCTTATTAATGCTCTTATTTTAAGGCATTGTTTCTCTCAGATAAAAGCTTAAAAAAAAGGGACATGATCGTGCTTAATCACTTAAAGGGAAAAAAAAAAAGAAAGTTAACAAAAAGACTATTACACTATACATACAGAAGTACAAGAAAATAATAAAGGTGAAGAAAAGAAATCACTTAAAGCAGGCTCTAGAGCTATGTACAGTAGGAAAAGCTTTGGGGTATTTCACTGTGTGTATTGTACAGACAACGCATGCAGTTTTTCCTTTTCATCTTTAGCTGTGATCGTACTGATTTCTGGCTTCACAGAGATGTTTTCAGGGAAGACAAGGCAAAGAGTACCACTGCTTTGTGAAGTTCCTCCCTTTATCAAAGGCACTATGTGGCAGCAAACAGTTTAAACAGTTAAACCTTGTTCCTTTTAAATTTCCTCTGTGCATGTAGTGTTTCACTGAAAGCTCTGAAAACAAAAATGCGAGCACTCTATTCCTTTCCCCTGTCAAAATTCAGTAGTGACATCGGGGCAGAGAAGAGGATGGGCAACACCCAAGCACTGAACACGGTGTGTGCTACTGGGATATGGTAATACTGTACATGGTTTAGGCAGCTGGCAACTGAGTCTTTCAGCAGATTACCTTCCAGCCGATGAATTTCAACTGCCTGTGACACAACACTGAGGCATTACTAGCTCTGTGGGCTGACATTTAACATTACAAAACACCATCTCACCACGCCTTCAATTTTACAAAATCCTACACATAAATGCTTTTTCTGCCCCCAATGACTGGATAGTTCCTTGTACGTTTGCTGTGGTTTTACAGAAGATAACGGGCCTGTTGGCTCAGAAATGCCTGGGCATTTCACACTGTTCACAGCGATTTAAGGCTGGATGATTTAAAAAAGTACAGGCAGTACAACTCCACTGAGCTCCCTCATCTTCATCTGCGTCTGGAACAGTCTTTGGTGTTTTCACAATGGACCTCTGATCTGTGATATGGGAGAGATAAGACAAACAGTTACTGACTAAGAACAGCACGGAAAGAATTTTGAGACGACGATTTCAATAACTGAGAACCATCTTGTTCCTCCAAAAGCTGCAGTTATTACTAGCAACAGAAATCACTTTTAATCACACTCTTGACTACATCTTGACTGTAAGTCAGTCAAATGGTACAAAGCGAGCTACACAAAACTTTGAGCAGCCCCCCTTGGGCTCAAAGCTACTGCATGAGATGAAATTTAGAATCACAGCGAACAAATATCAGCATAGTGAACCACGCAAAAGATTAAGTCTGAAGTGTATGAACAATAATGTGAACTAAGAACTCTGTAGCCTTTCCATGTATTTAATATTTTGCCTCCAGAATGAACGTCAGCAACTCTTCCCAAACCAGAAAGGCAGTCAGATACACAAAAGAAAAATCAAAGCCCAGCTTTGATTGTATTTTTGAATTCCAATACAAATGTTAACAACTACTAATGGAAAACTAATTTTCATTTCCGTCTACAGTAGGTTGGTGGGTGGGAAAAAAGCAACAGCTTTTAGATTTATTCACTGTAGAGGGAACTACACAAAACAGTTGTCAAAACTGATACTTTCTGTACTTTCTGACATTCTTCATGCTCCAACTATAAAAACAGCACATCTTAAAGGACCGTGCGGGGATTTATTTTTGCTCCATTTTTCATCAGCAGCCTAGATAATGGAGCACTAAAAACAAACGTATAAAACATGAAGAGCAGTAGCAGTCTGGAAGAGCTGCACAGAATTTAAAGGATAAAAGAAAAATGAACTTAAGTAGGCCATTCTGAAAGAGAATTCTCTTCAGAAGACATTCTGTGGTGAAAGTTACTGCACGCTATGACCATTCAGGCACACACAACATACAGAAAACTTCACCTGCACAGAGCAACTGCACAGAAGCAGTAATGGATTAATTATTCTATCTGGTGGTCTTTTTAGGTCACACTATGATGCTGTTACAAAATTTCATTCTTTGCTTTATGTAACACACGAGAGCTAATTCTGTTTTATGTGATGTCCCACTAGGGCAAAAAAAAAATCACATGCAAAAATTCAAGGGGAAGTAGAATGTCCAAGATGAATAAGTTCCAGAATATTGACTGCACTATTAGTAACATCCCTCTTTTCTTCAGCTACTTAAGACCATTACGTAAATTGTGCAAGCGCAAGGAAATCCTCCAGTCTAAGTAACTGAGTTACTGTAATAAGTAACTTCACCAAGGACAGTGACCAAAACCACTCCTCACCAAGGACAATGACAAAGTAATCTGAGTTTCACTCCTGTATCTTACGTTCATTTCTAAAAAGATGGATGTTTCCATTCAACTATCTTGCAACTATTAGCCATCTTTAAGCACATCTCATTTAATACACTTCTTTTTCCTGAATACGAATAGCAAAAACTGTATACTTTTGAAGAAATCATCTGTTTTACAGTCAATATTTAATCTAGAATCACGGGAAAGACCTTAGTACTAGATGCAAACCAGACATTAGCAGAAAAAAACAAATTTTAGTAATACAATACCTTTGGGTTTTGGTGGCACCGGACCAAGAAATCCAATATTATCATAAAAATTATGAATAGCACTGGGATTAAAATGTGGTCCTAAAAATAATAAAAAAAAAGAAGAAAATAATGTACAACTATTTTTAAAACACACTTGGGTACAAAAGCAAATTTTTTGTTTTTTTTTCCAGTAGTTATGATTGAGCTTATCTTTTATATCAAGGTGTCAGCGTGGACCTGCATGAGATATCTGTAGCATCAAGAATACACAAACTTACTAAAATAAGCAATATAAGAATGTCAGAAACAAAATTCAGGAGTCCACACTTGCACAGCCTGGTTCTTAGCTAACTGCCCAATCTCTTTAAACTATCACTTTCCCCCATTTTTATAAGATTTTATAACTATTAACTTATAATTATTTAACTGCATTTTATTTTTAAATTTTACCTAATTTTCATAAATTCTAACTGCACTGAAGATATGTATGACCTATGCATTATGTCCTGGACAGCTTTTTACTTTCTCCTTATGTGCAGGTACTCTGTCTAAAGGAGAACTCGCACGGCTCACGACTGAGCTGATCAAACAGCCTGCCAGTGCTGAAAGCAGAAAGCACCAGTCCCTTCTCTCTCACTGCCTCATTCCTCCTTTCCCGTCTCTCCCTTGCACCAGCTGCAGATGTTTCCAGTAATCCCAATTTCTTTCCTTTCCCCCCCTGGGTTAGAGTGCAGTATTAGCTCTGTGAAGGGTCTACAGGTAAAGCACAGTAGTGCTCTACACACTGACAAGAACGGGGAGCAAGGAGAGACGGAGACATTGTGTTGGCAGCAATTAACTGTCTCAGCTGTCTCAGTTTCTCCTTCATGACCAAAGGCTGTGTCTCTGTAGACAGAAAGTTGAAGGAGGAGAGCACAGTGTTACAAAGGTATGTTGTTTGTTAACGCTGAATACAAGACAGAAATGCAAGACAAGAAAGGACATGTAGGTATGACTACACCATTTAGAAAACTTTTCCCCTTGTCTTTGATATTCAAGTGATCAAAGAGCTTTTTTTCCCCAGTATTTTTTAAACAAATGGCATCACAATTCTCTCTTTGGAGAGAATTAAGAGATAGGAACAACCACAGGATTAGGAAAATCATATAGCTGACAGAACAAAAGGCTTAGAACACAGTTACTTTCATAGTTCCACTTAAATTAAAATGATTTTGCAAACAGCGCATACACTGATGACACAGTGCATGTATTTTTAACACAGCCACTTCTGATACATGCAGACAGCAAAAGGAGAAAGTAAAATGAACAATGACACTTGTTGACGTACTAAGAACATACTGTACCTCTTGCTTGAAAAAGATCAATCTCTTTGGTTAGGCAATCTATGTCTATCTGCAGCTGTCTGTTACAACTTCTTAACTGTTGCATTTCTTCCAGCTGAAAAAATAAATCTGCTTGTTAGACTAAGTGCCCCCATTTTATTATCAGTTATCATTCACACACAGGTAGTCATTTCAGAAGTGAAGATAAAAGAATTTTCCCTTATTGTTTCATTTGTCCAAGCATAAGCTTTGACAAAGCTTTCAGACCCACTGAACTCTCCTCTCATCAGACTTCAGAGCTGACTGAACAAACTCCAGATTGTGGTTAGAACACAGCCAATGGTCCACCAGATCAATGGCCATCTTCTGGACTGAAAAGACAGAAAACTTTATCAGTTTTCTTTTGAGATTAGTATATGCACGAAAACAATACTCTGTGGACAGCCATATGAGCATTAAGTAATCTAAGCCTTTAGGTGACCATTCCTTTAAAAACACCAGGAAGGACCACCAGGTGCAAATCTTTTGTGACTCTGAAAGCAGCAGCAACTGGTGAACTGAAAGGTTGATGGCTAAATAATACATTCTGACTCTGCACTACACTGTTCACCTGTTTAATTCTAGGTATGCTACCTACTGCTAATATACTGTCAACATACGAGCAGCTATTCCTTTAATTTGCTGTAACAGCCCATGCTTGTGGTTTAGGCTCATAGCCTACAGCCGTTTCAACTTACTGATGGAATTTGGGAAACAGAATTCGATCTTTTCAGCCGCCTTCGTGTCAGATTATTCTCCATTTCATTGACCTCTGATTTTAGTTTATCCAACTTTTTCTTTTGAATCTCAAGTTCTCGTTGAAGTCGCTCCATCCTGGCCTTCTGATGTATCAGTAAAGCTGCAATACATAAAGTCCCATTTTATCTACTTTATTATCCCTTCTTGTGACAACATCAGATAAAGATGAAAGCTAGTATTCCTTTGGGAAAATACAGACAAACTTTCTACAGATTCTTTTTCCATTCTCCTCACAAGAAAGCCTCTGCCAGAAGAAAAAACACATTGCATTTTGCAAAACAGCATAAATCAATCACAGACAACAAGTAAATACAGTGAGAAAGTCATATAACGTAACAGAAGATCATGCAAAATCTAGCTGTAATCTGCAAAAGTCTTTTTTTAATAATCCAGCAAAACTATGAGAAGAGCTTTCAGAAATTAATAAACATTTCCTTGCATTGTGTTTTGCCTGCTCACGTGAAAGAGATGGCATGATGTAGACTTCAGAGATAGCTGCATGACAGAGCACTATGGTAGGTAAGAAATGAAATTTTTCATTTTGTTGCTATTTGGATTGGAACACAATCCAGTATTCTTTTCATAGCAGGAGACATCAAGTGAAACCAAAACAGAAAGTACTACAAGCGATACTGCTGGTAAACATCAGCTATATTTATCACGGAGGCTGGACTGTGAGTTATTTCATCTCCCAACCATTAGCTCAGCTTCTAATTTCTCTTACTGCTTACTATTCATAAATTAAATGGCATACGAAGACTTGATTTAGAGACAACCAAGTTAGCATTTAAACCAGATCTTTTTAAACACAAAGAACATAAGTAGAACAAGCAATTGAATACATACAATTTAAAGAGTTTATTTCATTAAAGATAGATATACTGCAAAGTATCACCACATGAGCAGACAACGCTGCTCAAAGGAACAGTGCACTTTAAGCACAGGTGAAAGAAGGATTTTATTAAATAAACCCAATCATTTCAACTGCTGCATAGTCATTCATCAATTAAATTATTAAATATAGGTACTTCTATAGCACTTTAGAAATGAATGAAAAATAGCAATAACAAAGTACTAAAAAAGACAGAAATCTTCCTCAGAAACAACCTGTTTAAACAAGACTGGCTGAAATGCAAAATTTAATGAATCTATGTTTCTTAGGTAGCAAATAAGGTCAAAGCACTCCTAATTTGGTTGGCTAGGTTTCCTGTGCAGTAGCATCACTGGGGAAAAAAAGAAAAAAAAAAAAAAAAGCATATAAAAAAGATGAAACTTTTCTCATTTTCAGCAGGTAGAACTGTCCTTCACTGCAACTCCTGTCATTTCATTCACACATCATGCTTGGCCTTTCCTCAGAAGGAGGAACTGTGCCAAACTATTTTTGTACAGTTAAAGAACCACAAGGCTGCACCCAGACTCAGTCCAGGTTTTTGAGTTACATGTTTAAAAGATAATGAAATGACAGAACTGTAAAGGTTTCTACCTTTTGATTTTGTTCAATTTAGAATTGTTTATATAAAGACATCCATTTATTTGTGGTAGCCACTATCCACGCTACAACAGAAGGTGCAGCTATGCTCTTCTGGAGCATAAAAGTGCAGAAACCAAAACTCCAAGACGTAGATTTTTGTTGAATTGTCAGGGAATCATCAGTTAAGTAGTCTCAAAGGACAGCCTCCCCAGTTGAACAGCATTTTATGAATAACTGAAGAACTTTTTTTCTATTTATGATCTCCAGGAGCTAGAAAAACAGCTGCAGTGATAAAGAAAGGGAATCGAAGACTACTTTGCCCCTATTCTTGCAAGGAAATCACAAAGCCTTCTTCCTTCCAGGCTTATTTTTCCACTTTTAGACAAGACTCTTCTAATTTCACTGCCTTGGTATTACTGTTGAATCAACTCCTTGAAGGCCAAGTTACTGGTATGTGACCTACAGTAACACAGCTGCGAGCTACCAAGCAGATGTGGAACTCCTCAGATGTGTCCAACTACAGATGCAGGCTGTCAGTTAGCAGCAATAATGCTGGATGTGGAAGGTGAGAAAGAGCATTATCAGAGTGCCTCCAGGACACAGACACACTCATGAGTATGACCACGAATAAGAGCAACTCTTTGAAGGGCTTTTTTCCCTCTTGTAGAGGGAAAGCAAACAACTCGTTTCAATATTCTCCAACATCTTTGGTTTAGAAATTCAGCTGTCATTATGGAATGGCAAGGGGCAGAAAGGACTGATGGATGCCCCACAGCATTTTCATTTGCTCTCCTAGCATCTCTGCCACTATTTTACTATTTTAAGTCCCAACAGATTTTAAACACACTCGTTATAAAATTTATATTACTATTAAAGAAAAATCATTATTTGACACTGCAGTGCTAAACATTCTCTATTAAAAATAACTTGGATAAGGAACTGACAAGACATTGGTTCAAGTGGTGGATTTTATATAGAATGTAGCAATTTTGAATAAATATTAACTTGGCAGCTGTAGAAAAATAATGAGGTGACAAAATCCACCCACCTCCTCAGTACTTACTAAGAAAGAGCAGCAAGTAAGTAATCAGCCCCCCCTAGTGTTGATCAGAGCAACTGAAAATGTTAAGAGAAAACTATAAAGTGCACCTCCGACAAAACTACGTAGGGTCATTCCAGCCTAAAGCTTCCTATCAGTAACACTGTTTGATAGAGCAAGTTCTCAGCCACAGAACACTCTCTTTCAACACAGTCACCCCCATTAGCTATGCATTTTCACCAGCCACGAGCAAGAGCCTGCATGCCACACTTGTAACAATCAGCACACCAGTGGAGGTGACCCACTGCCACTGTCACCAGTGTTGAAACCTCACTGTGCTCACATTCAGTTTGGTCTCCAGAAATGTTGAGCAAGCATGATGAATGTCAATGGGTGCCATTTTTCCTGTTTGGAGGGATTCAATGAGACATCCTTCATTTATACATACTTCTATGTCAGATGCCAACTTGTCAGACTGCCCCTCTGATGCCATCTGTCTCACGGCAACTAAATGCAATGGAATACTGGGGGGAAGGTTCAATCTCTACTGCCATACCACCAACATCCACCTCCGGTGTTATGGGCCAACATAATAAAATAGGAGCCATTACTTTTAGAGCAGCCCTCACACAATTCAGGTAATAGCTCTAGTGGAGACGTTTAATGGCCTACTCTTGATAATCTTGTGTTACTTGCAGGAACAAAATTCTACCTGTGTGGGCAGCACTGGCACATCACAGTTTACTCTCTATAGGCTAATTGCAATACAAGCCAGAAAAGCTCAGGCTTGCACTTTATATTCAGACATCCTTAAAACTAAGCTACTTACTGTAACCACCCTATTATGAGAAATATAAAAACTTCCTCCTTGTCTCACTGTTAGTGTACCACAATTTGAACAGTTCTGATGACCAGTTTTTTCATTGGGTGGAAACAGGATACTGCGCACCTTCAGCTTTTTTCTGTTTCTGCATTCTACGCTCAGCTGACTGGAAAGAGCAGTTCACTTCAGTTCTCTGGCAGATGTGCACTTCAATGTCAAAGGAAACAGTGGCACTTAACCACGAAACAGCTGCAAACCACTGTAATTACAGGAAGCAAGAAACTGTGCAGGACAGAAGGTCACTGCCGCTATACCAGAGATCCATTCTAACAGGTACCGAATGCAACTTGTGAATTTGAATTTTAAACAAACATCGTTTATGTGTTTCTAACATAAAAGCTAATCCAGGAACACAGTGACTTCACCCTACACTACAGATCTATGAATTTTCAGACTCAGGATTTCTTGGTCAAATTTGGAGGAAAGTGAGTTCTGGTAATGCAGTTACTCTGCATCAACAGAACAGTGACATTTTTAAGAATGCTGTTTGTGCATATTTTCAAAATCCACATTTTAAACTCTAGGAAATTCCATCATTTATTATGCAAAGTCAACAGTTCTGATTTGTTTGTTTCCCCCTTCCAACACTCTTTTCAGTTTTTGTTTGTGCTCCACTTCGTGTATATGCCTGATACACAGAACCAAATATAAGGCTGTCTATTTTCCTATCTCACATCATGCAACTAACTGGAAGCCTCTTGGAGCTGGGGCATAGCTGTATCACTCAAATCTTTTATTTCTGAACATCTGTGAGGCCTGATTAAGACTTTAAGTTTCTTTCCTGCAGCTTCTCTTTCTTCTGAAACCTTCAAAAACTTTGAGAAACAAAAAAGGAGAACTGTGCAAAACGTCAAGTTACTAACTAGTTTTGCAATCAGAATATTTACATTAAATCACGGTGTCAAATAAATGATAATTAAATGTACATCCACATAATGATCTATACCTGCTACAGGTAAGTCTGTTCACTACGCAGTGTACCAGCCCCTCTCAAAGTTGGAAGATAAAAATTACAGAAATGTCAGTCAAAAGCCAAGCAGTAGTGAACTAAGGGACTTAGTTAAAATGGACTTAAAGCAAACTCACTAGCAGGAAAACACTAAACTGAAAATTTTATTCCAAGATTAATGTATTTTCTTCATAGCACAGCTGCCTGCACATTATACAGGCTGGATGCTCTGCAGAGAATAAGGAATTACTAATAAATGTTTAGCCCCATTATTCAACATAAGACTATGTGCACACTGACTGCACGTAATACAAAAACACTTCTAAGTACCAAATTTTTAGTGTCTAACCAAATTTCACCTTTTCATCCATAGGGCACTTTACATAATATATTGAAACCTCAGTTTAGTATATTAGTAAAATTATACTGTGCATTGGAATATCTTCATTAATGGGAATTGATACTCCCGTATAGAGAACAGTAAGTGATGAGCATAAAAAATTATCTTTGCTTGGCTTTTCAGCACGCTCCTAGTAAGATTTTTTCTAGCATTATTAATATTATTGACTTCACTTGTGGATGGATGCCGTCAGCATTTCCATGAGTAAGTCCACAGGATTTCAAACTGGAATTCCAAAAAACAAGGAACATACAATTAGCAACTGCTTCTGAAATGCCTGCCGACTGTGACTTTCTTGACATCACCAAGCCAGCTGCAGAGATATATAACTTAGTATTCCAGGCTAACAGTGAATGTCTTTACTACATCAGTTTGATCTAACTATTACCCTACTCCTTTTCACATTGCACAACCTTTAGTTCTGGCAGCAAGCTAAACGAAAATCGGCAGTAAACTGCTACTACCCACAGAGACTTACTGGAGAGAACAGCAGAGAAACCACAGCAAAAAAACAGAAATGGAATCAAGAAGACTGGAATGCCTACACACACTGTAATTGAATGAAAGCTCCGCAGATAACCTTTGCTCTGAAATGTTTTCATTTCTGGATGTTTGGATTCATGACTTTGTAACTCTGTATGAACACATAATGATACTTCTCTTGTATGCATTTTTAAAGTCCTCCCTCAACAAAAACCTGGAAAGAAACTTAATCACGGAAAATTGACCTTCCTGTGGGTCATCAACGGGGTTTAGATTTTTCAGATTTACAGAATGTGAACCCAGCACTTTATTCCAAGGAATTAACTGCTGCTTACAGATAAACTACCAGGCAGACAAGCTCTGTGCTTTATCAGAGAGCTCCACGGCCAACTGCTGCCACAACAGTACTCTGGACTCCCAGTATCTGCCCTCGGTTCTCAATGAGCAGAGAATTCTCTCACAGCCAGAGGTCATTCTGCTCTATACTGGTTAGACTTGAGCTCTCTATATCCTATGCTACTACTGCCCACCTGAAATCCTTGTCCCAGACTGTGCTTCCCTTCTTGAGGATAACAGTTTCATCCTCCCTGAAATTCATCCTCAACCTGAAATTCTGATATTTTACCATCCTAGTCAAGGACATATTTCCGTCTGAGAGGAAATCAAAACGATGAATAATCCTGTCATCATCAAATCCCTCTGCTTTTTATCAAAGAAAGTACAGTGGCAGGCATTACTTGCAGACAGGTCCAACATCTTATGTTCTCCTGTGCTTATGAATCCATTTCACTGGAACAAAGTGAAAGAGATCTCCTTTGACACCAAACCAGCTCTACTTTCCACATTCCTCCTATCCTTAGCCAGGTTTAGTTCTCCCTGCCAAGATATGGAGCATTCTGGGCAGAAATGGAAAAGCTGATGAAAATGCATTTTTTCTCTAATCATAGCCAGAGAAACGACTCATCTGTTTTGGCTAAAATTAAAGTGAGACAAGCACCTAGGTGTCTGCACACTTGCTAAACTAGATGCAGCTTAGAACATGCCTCTCACAATGGAAAGCATGAAGTAATTGAGATCACATTTAGTATGCTTAAAAAAACCAAAACAAAACAAAACCGCAATACCACCACACCATTACGATAAGAAAAAAAAAACACCTGACCACCTCTGAGTAAATGATCTAGGTCTAGCAGTGCTAAGTAGGTCTTCTGGAAATCAAGGTCATAGCAATAAGTCAATAAGTCACTTTTCAACTTTCAAAAGATTAAATCGTTAACAGAAAATAAAAAATACTGCAGGAGAAATAGAGCAAGATAATGCCAGAAATCCCAAACATTCCTGAATACAGAGAATTTGGGAAACAGGAGTGCACTTTATATGAACTACTGAATGAACTACACAAAATGAAGGTATTTCTCCAAAGTCAGCACGGAGACAAAAGCTAAACCAGCCCACATCATGCATCTGATCTAAAAACTGTCTTGGCCTCAAGAACAGCTGGGCCCCACAAAAGCTATGTGCCATTCAAAACTTCTGAATTCTGGGCTTTGCAAGTCTGCCTCAACTTGATAAATTGGATATTGATATCTACTAGCCTATAGAGACTGTGCAGAAGTCAGGCTCTTACCAACAATACAACTGCATCCAGAAGACGTGCATAAGCTATAATCACTTTGAAATTAACTTTATTACTAGTGTACCCCAGATGTGCACCACCCTTCCAGTGTCCTAATCAACGTACTTATACAAGAAGTATACCCTGAAGAATATTTAGAGTGCTCAAAGAACAAACCAGCTTTTTAACGCTGAGTTGTTGCTAACTCTGAAATGTACCAATAAACTGAAAAGAGAAATTATTTTGACCATCTACCCTGAACACTGCATAAAGATCCTAACATCTATTCAACAACTTCATAGAAAAGCCCACAACAGGGTTAATAAACCATCAGGATGGTAATAAAAGTGTGAAAAAATATGAAAATGGAAAAAAAAAAAAAAGTTTTAAACTGGCTTACTGTATCACATTTAAGTTTTATCCTTCTATTACACTATTGATCCTTTAAAATAACAATCTTTGGGTATGGTACTCTTTTTCACATTTTAACAACATAAGAGAAGTATAAAGACTTTCAGCATTTTATTGTCAAGCACCCATTAGGAAACAGAGGCAAACACTTTGTCCCGCTAACTGCTTTAGAAGACTGCTTTTCTTGCTTCTTAAATAACATTGACAAAAAGAAAAAAATGAAAATTGTATCAAATGGAAACGGTATCTCAACTGATCCAAATGTCTGCCAGTAGACTTTTAACTTTAAATCATTAGGATAAATAAAACAAGCTTAGATGTTTCCTTCGGAACAACATAAAAGTGAAGACACTGTGACTCCACTTGATTAAACAGATAACATATCTTCTTAAGACAAATGAGAATTATCTTCAAATATTCAGTGACATGTCTCTGCCATAAAAAGAAATCTATGACTTGCTTATAAACCTTTTTTGTTTATTTAGGAAATACTCAAGAATGCTAGAGTTGAAGATAACATTAATATCACAAAGTTTATCAACTGTTTCACGCTCTGTAGATTACATACTGAATTGACAATCTGGTTGAAATCTTTACTACTTATATTAAGAATATTACCTTGCGTGTAGGCAGCATCATCAGATCCCATACTCAATTTTCGTGCATCACTGATCCTATCCACATGTGCTAAAACAGGGTCAGTAAGATGCTGGATACCCTCTGGTTCAACATAGTGATCAGGAAGGTTTAGAAGGTTTGTAGGTTCAAAGGTTGGGGAGACTACCCCTGGGGAAACTGCAGGGGGCTTATTTGGAGAAACTGTAATTTTAAAAGTATATTTTGTGTTAGGCTGCGTAACAACCACTCGAGGAGAGGTTGCAGTGGTGCTGTTGCCCACTGCTCGACTCTTGGGTGGATGGTGATGAATAAATGCAGGACCCATGCTTACTTGACCAGACATATTCCTAGAAGTGGCAGATACTCCAGGATTTGTCGATATGAAAAGCGTGGGCTGGTTCCGCACAAGTTGATCATCTCCTGTGGTGGCATTTGCTGAAATGTAGACCTTAGGCTGACCACGTGTGATCACTTCATCAGTATTTGGAGGACTGGCCGATATGTAAACAGTGGGCTGACTTCTACTTAATGTCTGGCTGTTGAGGGAAGAGGGAGTAGTGGAGGTGCGAGGGCCAGTTGAACGCAACTTAGAAGAACTATTTCTCTGTGGTGGTTCAAGTTTGATTTCAATTTGGTTTTTGCGAGGTCCTGTGGATATATTCTGAATGTTGTATTGGCTGTGAGCAGAGGATTGTGAGCTACCAGATGAATGAATCATAGGTGCTTGTGGAGTAGTAGGAGAACTGATAGGCATATAGACATGAGAAGTCTGGTGGCCTTGCTGATTTGGCTGCGTTGAGTGTTGCGATGAGGTATGTGGCGTGGTATTGGATGTAGGAAGAGTAGTCCAAGGACTTGGCTGCGAAGGCTGGTAGACTTGCTGAGGATGCATAGGATTAAACTGAGATGCCCAACCTGCCTGCTGCTGTGTCTGTCGAGCTGTACCACTAGGAGCTGTGATATAAGGCCTAATATAGATAGAATTTCCCTGTGGACTGTTAAGTACAGGAGGAGGTACACCATGTATGTGCAAAGACGTAGGGGTATTGCGGCCAGGCTGAATATTTGGGGCTAAGGTTACCATGATTGGGTTGAATCTGGGTGTTTGCTGGGACAAGTTAGATACTCCTTTGCTGCCTAGGTGAAATCCAAGATGTTGCCCCGGATTAGAAGCACTAACTGTATTACCCATTCCAAAGACATTAAATCCTTGTGGAACCTGCGCAGGTGCAGTCTGTGGTTCCTGCTGAAATAGTTCATTGTTGGGCTGCTTGGTTTGAAGGTGCCCATCGCTAACGCTGTGAGCTAGAGTCCTACTTCCATTCATTCTTCCATCTCTTCCATGGTGATACACGTTCTGTGACTGCAAATCCAAATTAAGAGATGTCATGTGATTTCGTAGTCCAGGAATCGCAGAATCATCCGAGAAACTTAGGTCTCCTTCACCATAGAGATATTTTGTGCTCTCCTGAGACAGAACTGCACAACAGGCATCCAAATTATTGTTATTCTATAAAAGACAGATGAAAGTTTGACGTTACTGATAAAATACTGTTATGGTTAGATAAATATAGGCACAAAACCATCAGTGAAAAGTTAACAATGTAGCATCAAATGGAAAGCTTTAGGTGGTTGGCCAGCATAGCAACTACAAACATACACACAAAGGGCTTGCATGTGAAGCTTACTATTTTGAGAACTGCAACTCAGTCACTGGAATCAAGAACAGAGGTCTGCACTGCTGCTGAAGCAATGACAGTGACATCTTGAATCTTGATAAGCTAACCTGGTACAGTATGATACACAGTGATTGCATACTTTTGCTACTCCCTCTGAATTTCAGAACAATCTTCACCAATGACCACATCTCTGGCTTGAGAAGAAAATGACAGAAAGAACAGACTCACAGTACCTACATGTGTACAGTACTGGCAAACAACTTAAAATCAAATTACATGTTTACTTAAAAAAAAACAACCAACCTTTTGCAAACACTTCAATACCAGTTATGCGGTAACTCCTGCTGAAAATGAAAGCTAAATCGTATGCAGAGAAGAAACATGCAGACTAAAGAAGTTACACAGGAGCATATGACTTCAGAAGCAACGTAAAAATTCAGTTTATGCACATACAGCATATGATCACTTTCTTGCAAGTTGAAAATATTAATGAAAACCCAGGGGCCATTTAAACCACTGTTTGAAAAGCTCCTAAATACTTACATTTGTATAAGATTACTTTATAAAACCTGTAATAAAGAAACTTAAAAACCACCACCTAGCTAATTTGCTTTTTTAAGAACGTATCAGAAGGAAACTAACTGCTAATCCTAGTTCTGTATTTCCACACATTTAATAATACTGTATCAGATCTCCATAACTGTTTCCCTACATAAGGGCCTTGCTAAAAGAACCTACGTGTGCTGGTGGCATAATTTCAGGACGCTGTGCTCTGTCCGTACAATTTCCTGTACACTCCTCCCTCCAGTCCTCACCTCAATAATAAGTTAATGCTTTCAGCCAGAAAAACTCTTGTTAAGGCACAGATGTTGTAAAAACAAAGTAGGTGTCAAATTCATCCAAACACACTGAACACCAGTTACCAAAAGGAAGAAAAACGATCAAGGAAAATATTGTACATGCCAAGTAGTAACATTATCATATAGTTAAAGAGCACACAAGCAAGAGAAAGTGTTCCATGCCACAAGCTTTGCAGCAAGTTATTTTTGTTAAACTAGTAGATAGTAGCTCCTTCAGCAAGGTGAGGGCTTGGACAGAGTTGTGCAGTCAAAGCAAGCCTGTCTCTATCTGAAAAAAATTACTGAAGGAAAAAACAAAATAACAGAAGTGGGAGAGGGAGGACAAGCTAAACTCTACCCACAAAACCAAAACTATGTGTTGATACAGGCCAGACGAAGTTCTGAACTCTTGATTAATACTTAAAAAACAAAACAAACAAAAAAACTGAGAACCAATCCAAACAACAAAAAAGTTTTAAAAAAAAAATCACAAAAAATACGGGGTTTCCTAATGGCCATCTAACTAGCCAGTCACATAACAGAAATGTTGCAGAAATGTCTTGAGATGAAAGTGGGTCAAATGACTGCACACATAATGGGTCTAGATTGGAATAAGCACAAGAGGACAAAGTAATCAAATAACGTTAGTAGTGAAGAAAGGAATCAAACTAAGAAAGAACAGTGGGTAAGAAAATACAGTAACAGTAGCCTTGTATTCATTGCAAAGAAGAAAAGGGAGCCAGAAACGGGACAGGATGCCATAGAAAAACAAGCTAAGAAATCTTAAAGATTTTGCATGAACTTCAGTGAATGAAAATTATTAACAGAAAGGCAAAAAAAATAAAAAAAAATATTAAAAAATCAAACCAAAAAGGAACAGGCCAGGCTTGCAACGCCCTTACATTCAACTTGAATGCATTTGCTTTGGACATTTTTTTTTTTTTTTTAAAGACTGCATCCAATCAGTTCCAAAATTACAGTGATGTCAACGAGCAAATTGGAGAATTCAAGGGGGAAACAGGGGCACATGGAACCCCTGGCATCTTCTGGCTGGCAGAGGCAGAGTTTCAACCGCTTCTAGTTCTTTATAGACCAGAGAACCGGTTGATGGCAGAATTGAGCATATTCCAGCAAAACAATGCCCCTCATCTTAGCTCTGCCCATGTCCCAATTGAGTTTAAAATGTTGGCACCCTGAAAGAGAAAGAAAAAAAAAGAAAGAATAAGAATGCTGGAGGGAAATGAGGAAGCAAGGAGAGGACGTAGACTTGAGGTGCAGGTGGTTATAAAATGCCCCAGACACACAAAAAAAAGAACCAAAAGGGACAATGTCCACACAGAGGGGAAGCTGTGGCAATCCTTTTGAGCGAGAAGGGGAGGCTTGAATGCAGAAAGCTTGCTTTCCAGGCAGAATGGAGGGATGCAAAACTCTTCTGGAACACTCGATGCAGTCAGCCCAAGAAAGCAGTAAGATCGCCAGTTCCCTAGATGATACAGGTTTCCATTTCATGTTGGTTTTTGGTGGTCCTCTGGTTTCAAGATTCTAGGTATCATTTGGATATTTTAACATTGGGCAAAAGAACAGCATTGAGAAATCTGCATAGTTTTTCCGCACAATTCATAGTGATCTTAAGAAGCCTTGGTTGTGATAAAAATCTTTTGTCACAATCACTATGAAATGCATAAGTGTTTGAACTCTTTCAGGTTCTCCCCTGTGATATTTTATACTTCCTGTTGTAAAAATAGCTTCACTCTGACACATACTGTGGGGGCAAGGCAAATCACAGCACTTCTTATACAGTACAGTACATTACTAGTTGTATCTTGGAGCTAGGCTACAGTTATTACATTTACCAGAAATTAATTCCACCGTGCTCAGTTACTACAGGGCACAACTTGGTATGCAGATATTGTTCCAGAAGCACTACAAATACGTGTCCAAGTACTTTCAAATCCCACTGTTCAGTCTTTACCACCAGCTCAAGTACACAGTTTCTCAGTTTGGAAAGGTTATATTATTATTTTTTAAAGCAGTCCAACTCAGAGTCGCGTAGTCAGAAGCTGATTCAGAGAATTTCAAACACCAAACTGAGGATTTTTTTTTAGAAATCTCAGCTTTGAATAACCTACTAACAACATCACCATAAGTAGCTTTAGGGTGTATTGAATTAGTGTAATAATATTGTACATATGGAACATATGCATATATAATCTTTTTTTCTCCTTTAAAAACACTTACAAAAGGTGACCTAAAAAAAATTCCCTCAAAATCTGAACTCTCATCCCCTATCTCTATCAAAGTACAGCATGCACAATATCTTCACAGTTTTAAGACTTCTTTTTATGCAAAAAACCAAATCCATTGTATTCAGTAGTATTCAAAGATTGCTGAGTTTTGAAGAGCCATATGCTATCTTTTAAAGAACCAAGAACCAAACATCCAAAAGGTGACAGATCTTGCATTCACTCCTACTTCATTGACCTTACTCAATTAGCAATTTTCTCATTTTAAGAACAAAACTGTATCTGTAGTATATAAGTTAGACTAGTTCTACAGAGAGCTAATATAAAAAATAGCAGTGAACTATCCTGAGAACAAATACAAGCAGTCTATTGTCTGGTTCAATTTTCCCTACAGCTAAATAATTAAAGATAAAGGGTTGGGGAAAGCCTGAAACCTCATAAGTCCACTTTCAAATCAAAAACAATTCTCTTAAGAACTGCTGTTTTCACAAATTCTCACTCTATTACAAATGTAGAATTATGATTGAGTCTTGAAAATTCAAACATTTAACTGGCACAATCACACTTCCAACAGCACAACAGGCACAGCACTACTTGGATGCATGTATGCTGACTATATATATCCCATACGTAAGTATGGACACACGTATTTTACATATTAAAATACATATAAAAATAAAACAATGAGCATTCTTTACAGCATAATTCTATCATCAAAGACATGTCACAGCCATAGCCCAGAGACAACCAGCTTCTGGGAACATACTGACTATCTTTTTCCCAATCAAATTTCATATGTTGTTGATCAATGCGAGTATTCACACAATCCTCCATTATCCAACATACTCAAAGGCTGAATACTATAGATAATGATGAAATCCAAACAGCACGGATATTTTGGGATCACAAGAAAATGCAAAGCAAACACACTTAAGCAACACAGTTAAGTAAGCCTAACAGAATTTGATGCCATTCAGAGGGACCTCAACAGACTTCAAAGGTGGGCCCATGTGAACCTTATGAGGTTCAACACAGCAAAGTGCAGTGTTTTGCACCTGGGCCGGAGGAATCCCAGGCATCCATACAGACTGGAAGGAGCGGTCCTTGAGAGCAGACCTGCAGAGAATGACCTGGGGGTCTTGATGGATGAAAAACTTAACATGAACCAGCAGTGTGCTCTCGCAGCTCGGAAGGCAAATGGTGTCCTGGGCTCCACCAGATGAGGGGTAGCCAGCAGGGACAGGGAGGTGACTGTCCACCCTCCACTCTGCTCTTGTGAGGCTCCATCTGGAATACTGTGTCCAGGTCTGGAGCCCCCAGTACAAGAAAGACAGAGAGCTGTTGGAGAGGGTCCAGAGGAGGGCCACAAGGATGATCAGGGGTCTGGAGCACCTCCCCTATGAAGACAGGCTGAGGAATTGGGCTTGTTCAGTCTGAGAAAAGAAGGCTGTGGGGTGACCTCATTGCAGCCTTTCAATATCTAAAGGGAGCCTACAAACAGGAGGGGAGTCAACTCTTTGAAAGAGTTGATAACAGCAGGACAAGGGGAAATGGTTTTAAGTTGAGGGAGGGGAGATTTAGGTTGGATGTCAGGGGGAAGTTCTTTACAGAGAGAGTGGTGAGGTGCTGGAACAGGCTGCCCAGAGAGGCTGTGGATGCCCCGTCTCTGGCGGTGTTTAATGCCAGAGTGGATGGGGTCCTGGGCAGCCTGGTCTAGTATTAAATGGGGAGGTTGGTGGCCCTGCATGTGGCAGGGGGGTTGGAGATTCATGATCCTTGCGGTCCCCTCCAACCCAGACCATTCTGTGATTCTGTGAAACTACAGATATAGCATTAACAATAGCATCAGAAAAATTCTTTATTATTTCTGAGACCAAAAGGAATCCACAAATCAGCAGCATGGATTCCAAGGCTACAGTAAAACAAACTAAGGCCACCAGGCAGCCAAAGAAGAACTGGGTAGAAACACATCAGCACATCACATCTGTCCAGGTATCACACAGCCAACACCAGGCTGATTGTCTACCTGACTCTAGCTAATATCAAGAAGACAAAGGACTCAGGTGTGTGGGGATTACTACATTCTAAGGCTCTCTGTTGTAGAACATATGTAAGGCCACCAGCACCAGCTCTGCAGGCCAGGTGAGCTGGGGCAGAAAAACAGTGGAGCAGGCAAATGCCAAGTAATGAGATCAAAGTCTGATGGAGATCAAGGAGGCAAAACTGCTTCTGTACCTGTGATGCTCGAAGCATACAAAAAAAAAAAAAAAAACAAAAAAAAGCGGAGCACTGTCTTAAAAAAGCGCTTGCTGGACTTTGTATCTATCTTTTGGCCACAATTTAACTTTGGCTCATGAGACGGCCAAAAGGCAATGAATATACTCATTATCAAGACTGCAACCTCCATGCACACTGCTTCACAGGATGGTTTGCTTAGGAGGGGCCAATCCAGCACAGCTTCCGATCCGGAATAAATAAATTGGCTGCATATATTTGTCTCATTCAAAGAAGAAGACAGAAAGAAAAACAACCTGCTTTCAGTACAGACACTTACACATGGTTAGTTAACACTTAAAATAAGCATAATCAATTACTCATACACTGACCTGTAACATGCATCTGGATACAACACCTTCAGGTACCTCAGGAAACTTCTGTCGCAGGTCATGTAAAACCTGAATATCAATTTGCTGGCTTCCTTGGGCCATTCGTATATTGCCTGGTCAGGATTGTTTTTCAACAGGCAGTTTTAGGCCTTAGTAAAGGGAGCACTCATCTCTTCTGACCCAGCATTTTCTGAAAGAAGGAAAAGAAGGAAAAATTTAAGACACTGAATGCAGGCACTATTGATGTTAAAACGTCAAACAGAACAAAACCTGAAAAAAAAAAACTCCTCAAAAATCCTCTTCAGTTATTAAATCTAAATCTGCATTTTATGTCAGTGTTTTTCCACATCACGTCTGGCTAACAAATGTCTATTCAGTCTCTTACAACCTTGAAAATTGCTCGTGTAAAGGCATATCTGATCAATTTCCTTTGTTTCTTTTTTTTTAAAGAAGAATATAAATTTATCAAAATATTAAAATTAATTGTTTAGGACCAGCATTTTTATTTCTTTAAAACATAAATTCATGCAAAAAAGTTTACATCAAAAAAGGGAGAAAGCATCAGTTTAGCTTTTGCATGTAATTAGTTACATTTTCCCAGTTACTGTTTATTACAGAAAATTGGGGCTAGAAGTTCAGTGTTTCATAAGTTTCAGGATTTATTAGCAACAGCCTATTAGTTTTCACCTGATGCATTTCAGAGATTATGACTGGAAGAAAACAACTTACAACTTATTTCCTCAATTAATTTTGTGTCTTTTTTAAAAAAGGAAATTATGAAGAATATACCGTAACCAGCCAGTCACACTTGTACAAGATATCTGTCCTGAGCTTACAGCATTCCTGCATGCTTTTACCAAGAACAGTTTCCAGCAATTAAGTTTGGAAGAATGTAGAGTTAAGCAAGAGAATGGTATCTCCTTTGTTTTCTTATAGTCATATCCATTTGTAATATTAGTTTACCCATAGCAGTCAACTCCAACATTCATTTACTTCACAAGTTAACAAGCCAC